TATTTCTTTTAATTTTTTACAAAATCCCCTTATTATAGAGAAGTAAACCAATGTTCTTGTTATCAAGATCTCCCCGAGGAGCACCTGTCTTTAAGTCTGGCCTCCCTCACCTCTCATATGTCCAGTATTCTCTGCAGACTCAGGGGTTCCCCAGGAGATGACATGGTCCCACCTGCATGTAAGGGCTTCCATTTTTGTGCACCTGCTATGCCAAATATTTTTTCATTTGATTTTCACAATGACTCTGAGACTAGGTATTGTCATTTTCACTTTACAAATGAGGATCCAGAGGCTGGGGAACAATAAGGGAGTTACCAAAAGTCACAAAGCTAGTCATGTTCATTGCCTTGTGAGCTGACAACCCCACCCCATCTGCTAGTCTAATGCTGAAAAAGTATCAGGTTTTGTTGAAATTGCTTTTGATGTGTTAATGAGGATGGATCTTAATGGTGGCAGAACTGGAGGTAAAAAGACAAGTTAGAGGTCTATACAATATTTCAGTGGAAAGATGCAAAGAAACTAAACTAGGGCATTTGTTTAAGATAGTAAGGTGCGGATTGTGCTATATATGGGAGGTAAAACTCATCGGGCTAAGATGAGATACTGGTCCTGGGAGGTGGGCACAGGGGAAAGTCTGGCGTGGTTTAGGTAAGTGGTGTATGATGGAGCCATTATCTAAGAATGCAGATACAGGAAGTGGAGCGGATGTGAAGTGAGGAGGGGAATTCAATTTTGGACATGTTGAGTTGGAATATACCTGTACAGCATCCAAGTGAAGTGCAGGGTAGAGAACATGACTAGAGATTTGTATTTAGAGGACACAGATCATGAGTTTTGTTTTTCCTCAAAATGGGAGGGAGCGAGCCAAGCTCGTTCATAGGCTGAGGGAAGAGGGAAAGAGAAATGTTAAGATCTAAGAAAGAGTGGGATTAAGAGCAGTGTCCTGGGAGGAGACAGAGAGGACGGGGTCAAGAACCCAGCTGGAAGGGCCAGCCCGTGGCTCACTGAGGAGAGTGTGGTGCTGATAACACCAAGGCCATGGGTTCGGATCCCATATAGGGATGGCCAGTAATAGATCTGTAACATAACCAGCACCATTTAGACAAGCCCAAGTACAAGATGATGCCATCCATCTCCTCCCATCCCTGTCCCCCGTTCTCTTTTACAAGAAGTCTCATGGTTTTGGAGAAAACAAAACTTTCTGCGTTTCCGCATGTGCAGAACTCTCCATCCCCATCACCTAACTCAATCTCCATCCTGGAATTACATTACCCAGCTCTTGGTGCCAATACACCAATATAAGCTCCCACCACCCTAGGTTAGCCACTGTCCCCCATTTTCAGGACAGCCCCTGGCTGTTCCCCACTTTGAGCACAGCCTGGCAGATTCTTTTCCTTTAATAAAGCTTGAATGGTATGTGGCATTTCAGCTCACTTTCTTCCAGCCAGTTAGCTCACCTGGGAGAGCATGGTTCTGACAATACCAAGTCGAGGGTTAAGATCCCCTTATCAGTCATCTTAAAAAAAAAAAAAAAGAACCCAGTGGAGTGTTGGTCTTGACTAGACTAGAAGAAGTGGTCCTCATATCAATGGAATGGGTAGAAGGAGGTGAGGATAGATGCCCATGTAGGTCAGTGGCAGGAAGAGTTGAGAGTAATGGATTTCACAAACCAAGGGCCTCACTCTTGTCAATGAAGTACAAGGCCAGGTCTTCCACTGAAAGTCTACCAGCCTGCATATTACTGAAGGAGATAAAATGCTGAAATATATGGACTTCCATAAGTTATATTAAAAAGGAGCTTGAAAAATGTTTGTGCCGCAAACAATACCATCAGTACTACAAAACAGGAGAAAATATTTGCAAATCATATATCTGATAAGAGACTTGTATCTAGAATATATGATGAATTCTTAAAATTCAAAATGGTCGAAGGATCTGAATAGATATTTATCCAAAGAAGATATATGAATGGCCAATAAGCACATGAAAAGATGGTGAACATCATTAGCTATTAGGGAAGTGCACCTCAGTACCATCATATGGTACCACTTCAGACCCACTAGGATGGCTGTAAAAAAAAGATGGATTATAATAAGTGATGGAGAGGATGTGGAGAAACTGGAACACTCAAACAGTGCTTGCAGGAATATAAAATGCCACTTCGGACAACAATCTGGCAGTTCCTCAGAAGGTTAAACATAGAACTGATATAGGACCCAGAAATTCCACTCCTAGGTATATTCTCAAAATAAATGAAAGTGTATGTTCTCACAGAAACTTGAATACAAATGTTCATAGCATTGTTTTTCATAATAGCCAAAAAATGGAAGCAACATAGATGTCCTTCAACAGGTATATGGATAAATAAACTGTGGTATATTTGTACAATGAAATATTATTAAGCTATAAAAAGGAATGAAGTACTGACACCATACTTCAACATGGATAAACATTGAAAGCACGCTAAGTGAAAGAAACCAGTCACAAAGATCATCTACTGTATGATTCCATTTATATGGAATGCCCAGCATAGGCTAATCTGTAGAAACAGAAAGTGCATTACTTGTTGCCTGGGGCTGGTTGTGGTGGAGAGGAAGGAGGGACAGGGAGTGATTGCTAAAGGGTGATATTATAATGGTGGATACATGTAATTATACATTTGTTCAAACCCATAGAATATACTAAAGTACTTCAAAAAGTTTGTGGATAAATAGAATTAAAAGATAATATGAATCTTTCCACAAACTTTTTGAAGACCTCCTCATGCAACACCAAAAGTGAACGACTAAAGTACTTCAAAAAGTTTGTGGATAAATAGAATTAAAAGATAATATGAATCTTTCCACGAACTTTTTGAAGACCTCCTCATGCAACACTAAAAGTGAACACTGACTTCCAGTCAAGATGGTGGAATAGATGGTCCCCAGCATCACTCTCTTCCACAAATCAACCAATTTACAACTATTAAAAAGCAATGACAGCCAAGCTAGGGCTGCTAGAGCTCAGGGGAAGAGGAGGAGAGACCTACGGAGTACATGAAAGCAGGAGGAGCCACGATGAGAGAAAGAAAGAACTGCTCCACCCATTTTGAATCCCGGCTGTTTCCAGGATGGAGCTGCTGAGCGCACAGAGCAGGAGCTGGCAAAAGCCGCAGCTGTGCCCTTCGGATGAAGTTGCTTGGAGGTGACGGGGGAGAAGAGGCCCTTGGTGGCTCCCAGGCCAGCAATACCACTAATAGGGTTCCCGTGGACCCACATAGGATGGAGGAGCCACAACAAATGAAAAAAAGGAGCCACTCAGAGGCCAGTGAGTCATCACAAGGGAATGGAGCACGGCCCATCCCATGAGAAGTGTTTGCAGCACAGGTGGTGGGGGAGACACGCCCACGAGGAGAATACTGGGACACAGTAAGGACAGCTGATTCACCCCCCAATCAGTACAAGACCATTCAGAGGAGACTGATCAAGAATATATAATTGCATGGGGTGCAGTTTGACCAAAAGACTCAGGACAAGATGAGAGTTTCTACACAACCCAAATGCAGCAGATTTCACTAAACCCAGAAGTACCTATAAAGTCAACTATTAAAACCTGAGCTGCGCAAAAAGCCTTCCCTAGGGAATCAGTAGCAAAGCAGCAATTTAGCTCAACCACAGAGCTCAAGTACTGGTCCCCACAGGAAGTTCCCCCACTTTAGAAGTAAGCAAAGGACAACAAATTAGTTCCAGTGCAGAGTTTAAGTGGTGGGAACAGCAAATAATCCAACACAGAACTGAAAGAAAAAACAGAGTATACACTGGGGCCTGCCTGGGGTCCTGAGGCATGCAGTTGGGAACTGAACCCTCCTCCCACAACCAGGTACACTGTCAGTGCCACGGAGCCCACCTGGGGTCCTGAGGATTGGAGCCACTAGCAACTGGGTAAGGAGTATACCAAAAACATCACCTCCATGTGAGTGGCCCACCCACCACCACAATAACCACAGCTGCCGTGAAAGCAGCTAGATGCCACAACCACCGTGCAGATGGTCTGTCAGCCACAAGGACAGCTTGTGTCTTTGCTTTGACACAAGGAGAGTCACCAGCAGGGACCATAGAAAAGAAGAGGATGTCTCTTTCCACAAAGCTTATTCCAGAGTAACAGAGAAGCATCTGCTCTACGATAATACTGGGGGACCTGAACTCACCTTTCAGCACTGGACAGATCATCTAGGCAAAAAATCAACAGAGTAACCATTACTCTTTCAGAAGGAGAGAAGAAATTCTGCGGTTATCAGAGGTGGGAGGGGAGAGGGAAGGGGGAGGGGGAGAGATTGGACAAGGAGCATAAAAAATAAGAATGATTTATAGCAATATATATGCAAGTAATATTGATTTGATCAACATATGTCAATGTTGAACCCCCAAAATATGTATAACCAATTATGATTCAATAAAAATTAAAATAAATAAATAAATATAAAATCAGAAAATAAAATAAAATTAGTATAGATATAAATAGTAATAATAAAAAGTGAATGCTAATGCAAACAAAACTATGAACGATGGGTGCTTATGGTGTGTTGGTGTAGGTTCATCAGTTGTAACAAGTGTGTCACTTTGGTGGGGGATGTTGATAACGGGGTGCAGGAGGTGCATGGATAATCCCTGTACCTTTTTCTCAATTTTGCTGCTAATCTAAAACTGCTCTACAAAATAGTCTTCAAAAAAGAAGCCGCTTGAGGTTTGAGGAAAGGATTATTGATGGAGGCGTGAACTGAAGACTGCTAACAATCAGATGATAACAATATGAAAAACAGCCATTATGTTTAAGGACTTATATGCCAGGCACTGTGCTAAGTGTTTTGACTACTTTATCTCCTTTAATCTTCACCACAAACCCATATATATTAGGTACTTTTTCCTCATTTTACAGACAGCACAGTTAAAGCTTAGGAAACATAAAAAAACTTAACGCCAACAATAAGGAAGAGACAGACAAAATGCAGACATAGGTCTGTTTCAGTCTGCTTTTAAATACCTGCACTGTGCTGTTTCCCGTGAGCTTTTCTTTTCTTTTTAACTCCAACCTTCTATGTTCAGCACAAATGCTACCTTCTTTAGGCCAACCTTTTTCCTGGGCAGTCCCACAGTACTCTGTGTCTGTCAATCTTAGAGTGGTAGATAGCATTTTCATCCCTGCAGTCCTGATAAAGATTTGCAGAATAAATGCACCAGTAAATGTGCTCTCCTTACCTCCTTCACACGCAGGAGTCCCAGCAGCACGACTGCTGCCCTGCACGGAGTGACCTCCTAATGTTCAGAGCACTGACTAAGAGCTAAAGTAGCCAAGAGCTCAACCCAGACAAAATGCGGCTCTTTATTCCCCTCTATTTGAAGAGATTATGGCTGGGAAGAAAAGAACAAAAGCAGATCTCAACTCTTAGCTAGACTAAGCTCACACCCACCTCCCTCCCAAGATGATTCTCTCAGGTTTTGTGGTCTTGATACAACCTTCCAGCTTTCCTCACCTAATAACTGCAGACATACCTACATTAGTCCCTGGCACATAGGAGGGGCCAAGAAACTTTATCTTCCTTTTCCATTCCTTTCTCAGTCCCCTCTCCTATCCCTACTGATGCCAGTCAAGAGCTTACTGTTTAAATTCAAACCGCTAGTCTAGAAGGGGAAAGAATAAAAGAAGAGATAAAATACAAACCTCAGGCCCGGCCCGTGGCTCACTCGGGAGAGTGCGGTGCTGATAACACCAAGGCCGCGGGTTCGGATCCTATATAGGGATGGCTGGTTGGCTCACTTGGGAGAGCGTGGTGCTGACAAACCTTGCTCACTAAACTGGTCTGCTCTATCTCCTCTGTGGTTTAGTAATAACAGCAAACTGCTATGAGGCTCAGTGCCTTCTGAGGAAACTGTGACATCTGTACACATCTACCCTAACAATACTTTATTATAATGCGAGAAGCAGTAGAAGAAAAATAGTGCTTTATAATAAAGCATCCCAATGTTTACGTGGGCTTACATTGTGTCAGAAAATGTCCTGAAGTCTTTACTGACATCCTATCATCTAATTCTCACACAAACTTTTGTGATATTTTCTCCTATCTGACAGGTGGGAAAATTGAGGGTAGAAGAGGAGTAATAATTTCCCTAAGGCCATCCAGTGAGTAAGGAAGGAGGCCAGCAACCTCCCCAAGGACTACGTGACTCTGTAGTCAGCCCAGTCCATCTTTGCATCATACTGTCTCCCTTGTCCTTTCTGTTTTCCTCCATTTCATGTAGTTTTCCCCTAAGAATAGTATAGAGAAAATGATACATGTAAATATGTTTACAAGCAATCGTCTAATATCAATGTAAAAATGCTAAATTAAATATTAGAAAACATAATCCAAGATCAAATTAAGAAAATATCCCATGACCAAGTAGAATTTATTTCTGGAATGTAAGAATCATTTATTATAAGGAAATCTATTAAGATAAATACCATATTCATAGATGTAAGAAGAATAATTATATGATTATCCCCAGATTGGGAAAAAAAAAAAGGCTCATGACAAAATTCAATGCCCATAGGAATTTATGCTTATTTTCTAAACACAATACTCTGGTAATAAAGCCAGCATTCTGGTTAATGGGGAAATACTAGAGGCATTTCCACCATGGTTAGGAAAGAGGCAAGGATGCTCATTATCTCTGTTACTATTGAACACTGTTCTAGAGGTATTAGCCAATACAATGAAAAAAGAAAAAATAGTAAGAGGCATAGAAATTTGAAAAAGAAGAAATAAAACTATTTTCAGATGATATGAGAGTTTATATAGAGAACCCGACAAAATCAACAACGAAGTAACACAAACAATAAATTTTCTAAATGCTAAAGAAAATGTTAATTTTTAAATAATTTCAAACTTCACAAAAGCTGCAAGAATAGCACAAAGAACATTTGTTCTGGAACCACTTAAGAGTAAGTTGTGAACATAGTGCTCATTGCCTTGAATACTTTCAGTGCAGCCCTTCAAACAAGGACATTCTCTAGATAATCACAATTCAAAGATCAAAATCAGGAAATTATCACTGACACTTACTAACATTGAATTCACAAAGTCTGTTCAAGTTAATTATCCCAATAAAATCCTTTACAAGATTCAATCTGGAACACATGCTACATTTAGTTGTTATGTCTCTCTAGTCTTTTTACAGTCTGGAAGAGCACATCAGGGGTGACCTCTCATAGACAAATTGATCCTCATTCCCAACCCCTCTAACCAGGGAGATGGAAAAGGCAAAAGAGCAACTGAAACCAAACCCCATCCTTTCAGAGAAAGATGAATAATTGCTTGAGTGTGTAGAGAAACCTGGAAGAGACGTCAAGCAGACTGTAAAAATAGGAGTATGTTAAAACATTCACTCTTCTCTGAATTCTTTCTAGACAGAATGTTCACAAGAAAAATTGTCTTGTTTTCAAAACAGTTCTAAGACACTTTCTCTTAGGTTAGATTTAGCAGTATGAGGATACTTCAAAAAGTTTGTGGGAAAATAGAATTAAAAGTTAATACGAATCTTTCTATGAACTTTTTGAAGTACCCACGTATATTTCTTAGGTCAGTATGTTCTCAGGCCTGACTGGTCTCCAAGTAAATCTCAGTTAAAGAACCTATTCTTAGATTAAATATTAAACAGCAACACTGAGAGCACAACTATCCTCACTTTGTTAGATATGAGTTCTAAGTGAGTTAAATAAAAATATTCTAATTCGACTTTGCCTCAAAGTTTTGCTGGGAATTCAGATTACCACTAACTCCATGCGGCAATAGTTCAAATTTCTTCATATATAAAACCTACAACTCTTTTTCCTAATTATGTTTTTTTTTTGTCTTTTTTCGTAACCGGCAACGGATAGCAACCTTCAGTGTCGTGCCGGGACCGGCAACGGGATCGCAACCCTCAGTGTTGCTCCCGTACCTCGCTCAGCCAGTGAGCGGCCGGTCTGTATGTGGGATCCGAACCCTCGGCGGGAGTGCCGCAGCACTTCCCAAGCGGCCGCTGTAGCAGTGCGCCACCGGGCCGGCCCCCCTAATTATGTTTTTTATGGTTATGAAATAATTAGTTTTTGCAAGAAAGTGAGCCAAAATGCTGGGTACCGATCAAGCTTTATTAAAGGAAAAGAATCTTCCAGGCTGCACTCAAAATGGAAGACAGCACCAGGTGTGGGGGTGGGAGGGCTTATATGGACTGTAAGGAAGGCTGATGTAATCAGGGAGGGGTTTGGTGCTGGTGTGGAGGAGTTTCTATTTCTCAGAAACCATGAGGTTTCTCGTAAGGGAAAGGCTGGTGGCCATTTTGTGCTGAATGTGTGTAAAATGGCGCCAGTCATGTCCAGAACCTATCAGTTTTCATCTGCATTGACTGTCTGAAGGTTTTTGAAAGCACAACAGGTGCAAAAGTAATCATCATACTGTGCTTATTTGATCAGTCTTTGTCCTTATTATGTTTTCTGGATAACCTAGCCAGGTACATTATTGTATATTCCTTATTTTTATTTTAAAGTTTAATGAAGAATGGTTTATTAACATAGTCTCAAAGTATTTATTAGTTACAAAGAGAAAAAGAATAATTTTACAAGGGAGAACTTGGTAGATACCACCTTAATCAAATAATCACCAATAATGGGACAAACCAAAATTGTGTACCACTGGATAGGATGAAACGAAAAGAACACAGCATCGTCAGTGATAGTCTTACCAAAAACTCAGAACCTCCCAACATGAATCTAATCATTGGTTAACATTTGCAAAATAACTGGTCTGTAATCTTTTTTTTTTTTTTTTTTTTGTCTTTTTCCGTGTCCGGCAACGGATCGCAACCCTCAGTGTCGCCCCCGTACCGGACCGGGACCGGCAACGGGATCGCAACCCTCGGTGTTGCCCCCGCGCCTCGCTCAGCCAGTGAGCGGGAACTGGTCTGTATGTGGGATCCGAACCCTCGGGCGGGAGCGCCACCGCACTTCCCAAGCGGCGCACTATCCAGTGCGCCACCAGGCCGGCCCCTGTAATCTTTTAAAAATGCCAAAACCGTCAAAGTTACATCAAGTGTGAGGAACTATTCCAGACTAGAGAGACATGACAGCTACATATAGTACATGATACTGCACAAGACACTTTTATAATAAAGGACATTACTGGGACAACTGACAAACCCCAAATGTGATCTGAGAATAAGATGGTGGTAGTGTATCACTGTAAATTTCCTGACTTTGGTGGTTATATTGTGGTTCTATGGTGAAGAATGTCCTTGCTTGTAGGAAATACATACTAAAGATTTCATAGGTAAAATAGGCAATTTACTCTCAAATAACTCAGGAGAAACAAGTTCTTTGTATTATTTTTGCAAATTTTCTGTACCTGTCCAAAGGAAAAAACCCTGGCTGAGCGCAAGAGAAACACACCAGGAGACAGGGACTCAAACAAACTGTATTAGGCAGGTAAAATGAACGAGTGGGCTGCCCTCTCGGAAGTGGGAGCAGCACAGGGGTAGTCAGGCTGGGCCTTTTATATCCAGTTGGGCTGAGCTGGACTGTTCCTATTGGCTAAGAAGGAAGGGGAGGGAAGCCAGCGGGTTTAAGCTGAGTTGGGATTTTTCTATAGGTGGAGAAATTCACACCTGCGGGAAGGGGATGTGGTGGTGAAGAAGGAGGAGGGGGTTACTGGTGATTCTCGGAAAACGTGCTGTTCTAGGGACCTGAAACTCTCTGCAGCCATTTTGGGTGTTCCTCCCATCTGCCCACCACCATCTTAGACATCGGCTGAAACATAACTGCCTAACACCTTTGAAATCATTTCAGAATAAAAGGCACATTATGACAAGTATCACAGTAAAAAATTTTAATGCACAAAATGTTTTAATGTAAAATATGATAATGTATGGAAAGCTATTTTAATAATGCAATCACCCAAAAAGAAAGCCTTTAGGCTAGATACCCACTTTCTAGGTCAGCCCAGGCCCCACCAGTATATCCCTTACTTTTTTAGCCGTTCCTCATGTCCTGGCTCAGACAACTCTCTTGAGCTAGTGTAAATGACTATATTGAGAGTCCTCCCCCCACCCTCACACACTTTTTTTTTAGCAGCAAATTCTAGATTTCCTTGAGTGCATGGGGTCCACGCATCCTGAAGCCCACTTAGAGGAAGCATTTATAAATATTGAAGTTCTATTTTCTAGCCATCTCTTTGTAAGGGAAGCCACAGCGTCTGCACCCGCCCAAGGGCCCTGGCTGTG